GCCACTGCTTTTAAGGGTTAGATTCTGGAGAACAATGAAGCTAGAAAACGAAAACCAAACGTACTTCTTTCCGCGGATGCATGTGTGGAATTTGGGCTGGATGTACCCAAACGTTTATCAGAAAAGAAAAGTACCTGAAATCCTCAACAGATTTAAAGGGGAAAGGAAGAAAGGGGACGAGAGCGGAGATAGAGAAAAAGAGAAAAGCGGTGCAGTTCTTGAAAAAGAGGGTAAAAGATGAAGGAAAAGCTAACGGAGATAAAGAAATCAATAGGGAACAACTTGGCAACACTTACATACCTCAATGACACACTCCCTGTTCAAAAAATTGACAAGTCGGCCGAGGTATAATAACGTAGGAGGAATCATGCAGCATACTCTGTATAAGAAAAGAGGGAGGAAGAGAAAGTTAGACTAAAGATGGGAAAAGGGGCAGCGCTTGACCCTGATGATGAATCACCGTCTCGGCTACACTTACGGCTACACTTACACTCACGAAATCAGTCATGCGCGATCAATGTATGGGTTTGAAAATCCTCTTTCATTATACTAATAACAATAACAATAGTTATAGCATATGCTAGATTGTTCCGAAGGTTCTATCCGGTTCGCAGATTTTCCAATTTATGTGGCAACTTTTTTCAAAATCAAGTTTTCTGAACAGATCAAAGTTTGCTGGAATGAGCAAATAACTTACAAAGGAGGTCCATTTATTAGAAGTGCCCTTTCCATATAAAACTAATGGCGCTAAAGGGCATGAACGCTGATTCCAAACCTTTCTTCGTTACCTGCCAAGCGCCTCTGGACGCCGAATTCTGAGCGTTTTTTGGGTGAAAAATTGAGCGTAAGTAGAACAAATTCCGTCAGAATTGCCTAAATCGTCCAATGTCAATTATCAGAGTTTCATTTAACGAATAGCTCTTGTTTGAAATACTCATGTTTAACGCTACCCTATTTGAGCGCTGAAAAGACCGTAACATCGATTTTACTTAAATTAAATGGTAGTTTTCCGCACCAATAAACATTCATAACTCAGCATGCAGAGGCGCTTTTCAGTCTATTACTGAGGCTACTCTGAAATTCGTCATTACCAGGGTCAAGTGTGGGGTGTGGCATGCCACACATGGGGGTCTTATTGAGGAATCAGGGAGGGGAGGGTCGTTATCAAGGCGTCCGCTGTTCGCATAACATGTTAATCGTTAACAATGTCAAATAGGTCCGTCATGCAAAACTAGCACATTGATGTTTGACCCATTATCGTATACGTACACATGAAGCATAAGAGCATCGATTTGTAATTAGCAAGTAAAATAACCCCTGTGGTCCAAGTTTCAGCGACTTCAGAGGTTTCCAAATACAGAACCACCTAAGTGAGATGGTCATTTTCGAACATGCTAACCTTGTTTCAAGGTGAGTGAACTACCTCTTTTTGCATTCATTACAAAGTACTCTTTGCTTACATTAGGTATCCTACTTCAAATGATCTCCAAATTAAGGAATCAAGATCGTTTATTCCATTTTTCGTTTTCAATATCTCAGGCTAGAGAAGACCAATTAGGCTCAAACCATTTCAATATAGATTACGAGGCTTAGGCTACGAATATATACATTCTTGTCGCCTTCCCTTGCGATTTACGTAGTAGCGCAGACTTAGCATGTTACCGTATCCCGACATTTTCGCAGTGTTTAACATTTGCATAGGTAACGAAAAACGTTTATATCTTGCTCTTGAAGAAACGTTTTCATATGAAATTTCTGCCATGTAAAGAAGAAGGTTGTGTTATAACAATGATGTAAAAAATGCAGCTAATCGATCTGTTCGAACGTAAGTTAATGGGGTGTGGCACCACCCCTAAAAAGCTGTGGCAGCCACAGTTTTTTAGGGGTGGTCCACACCCCAATAATTATATCAAAAAACATTTTTAGCAAACGTTATTTATAATCGATAGCGTAGTCCTCATAGATTTTATAGGAGTGATTTGAGCCTGATTCGTCTTCTTAGCTCTGAGTAATATTTGGTGAAAGCACAGCCATTAAAAGCGAAAAATAGGAAAAACAAGATTTTGGTTGGCTTCTAATCAGGGTCAAGCGTGGGGTGCGGCACGCCACACCTGGGGGGTCGTATTGAGGAGTCAAAAGGGGAGGGGTCGTAGTTGGGTAAACTGATAATAGTGATAACATGATATTAGTCTTATATCCATAATTAGCATGTCAAGTAAGCCCTGTAGACAAAGTTTAAGCGAATTCCGAAGATTCAAGACACTAGGTTACCTAAGTGAAATGGTCATATTCCAACATGGTTAACTTTGTTTCAAAGGTGATTAGCTATCCGTTTTTGCACTCAAGACAAAGCACTACTCCTTCTTTGTCCAGCTCAAAAATCCCGCTTCAAAAGACCTCCAAAAATTAAAAAAAATTAAAAAATGGGAATTAGAAGCCAACCAAAATCTCATTTTTCCCATATTTCGCTTTTATTGGCTGTGCTTTCACCAAATATTACTCAGAGCTAAGAAGACGAATCAGGCATAAAACATTCCTATGGAATCTACGAGGTTTACTATCGATTCATATAAGCACTGTCCGCTAAAAATGTTTTTTGATATAGTTAATGGGGTGCGGCACACCCCCTTAAAAGCTGCGGCTGCCGCAGCTTTTGAGGGGGTGTGCCGCACCCCCTTAACTTGCCTTCATAATCCAGAAAGCGCTCCATTGCTGGTATAAGTATTGAGCACATAGCTTCTTCTTGCTACATTGGAAATTTGGAGCCGAACGCCCCACCCATAAAAAATTATGGCCCTTTCAATATGCCCATTCAGATCAAAATCAGCCGTCAAATTACGCGTGATTGTAAAGTGCAGTCACAGAAAATCGGGCGTACAGCTCTTAAAAATCTGAAAACTCTCTAGAAAAAGATGGTGTCCTCCAGAATGTCGCACTTTGAGGTCCAGAGGTTAAGAGGAGGAAGAAGGGGTCGTTTGAGGGCTTTCATGGGAGGGGAAGGGGGTTTCGAAAGACTTGTGCCTGACCTCTTTCTCAACTCTGGTAGTGCTATCTTAGGTATACATATAGTTCAGGGGGGAGGTCTTATTAAGACAGCAATCAGGGGGGGGGGGGTCGTAACCAGCGATCGTGTGCCACACCCCTTGCTTGACCCTGTTGATGATTGACTACACTCCAATCAAACTGACTACATATCATCAAATTTTCTCACATTGCTTATCAGTAACGATTAGTTAGCATCGGATCAGTGCAGCATGCTGCTTTATAGATTTTGAATTTCGAAGTGAAATCTGTCGTTTTTCGAGGATACCAAGTTAGAAGGCCTAAGCCCGTACTTTTGAGATAACTTTGAGGAGCTTGCAATCGCTATTCTTTTACGAGATATCTTGACAAATCGAACGAAACTTTCCGCATAGACGGCGCGAATGACACGTGAGGCAAACCATTGCTTGCCTGGTTTTTTAAAGGAAATACGGTGTTATAGTTCGAAGTGCACCGGCGACATATGTGGACGTGTTTACCAATCGACATTGAGATCGTATTTTTATTTCTCAAAAAAAAAACACGGAGGTCCTTTTCAGGTGCCGAAATCACTCGGAAATTTGGATAGGGAGTTTATCTAACCAAATCTGAAAGAATTAATACTCATTCCCGAAGCTCTCGTTTTTGACTAATGAGTAAAAGTGCATGATTTTTGCCGCGCGCGATTTGGCTGTTTGCAAGGTGTTATGATGGGAAAACAAGTGAGATGCATCAGCAACACCTTTGCATGAGTAAGAGTTCTTGGAAATAATGCTTTTTTTGCCCTATGGACTCAAAATCAGTTATATAGTTACCAGTGCTCCACCTCGCACTGACTCCTCTATCCATACGCCTTCTTCTTGCTCGTATGATGTTAATTTTAAAACTCACCCTGCAATGCTAATCATCACAAATGAATTGTAAACAACTTTGCATATCAGTAGCTTTCCATGTAAAACGGTAATTTCAGATGGAGAAAACCTTTACGTGGAAGATTGAAAGCAAAAGTTGGTTATTCAGGTTATTCTGGTTTGGTAGCTTTAATTATGGACAGTCCTTCCGCTAGCTACATTTCTGAGCATAAATCTTCATAAATTCTAGATTAAAACCTTGACAAATCGAACATCTAAGCAATTGTTTTTTGGCATCAATTTTCAAAAGATTTTCGCTCACTTTTTGGATTAATGTTAATGGTCTGCGCTTTAGCTTGTACAAATCCACGACTTTGCATAAAATTGCCGACCCAATTTTGTGGGCCAAAAGTCGCGTGAATCCATTTAACGCGCAGTTTACAAAGGTTCCACACTCGGATCAGGTTGAGCTTTTGCACAGCTCACCCACATGCTGAGTTGATGCTATGGCCAAAATATTAGCTTAATTCCATGGCTACCAACTGCTCAGCGAATTTCGTCACAGACAGACACAACACAAAAAAACACGTAAACATAATGCGTTCTTATAGGATATTGATCTTAATAAGGCTGTTTTTTGTGAATTAATCTTAACCATGTAATATCTGCTGCATGACGAAGGAAGTTACCCAAGTAGCTTGAAGGCTGTCGCGCACGCGGCGCGCGGGCAATCGCCGACCACCGAGCGCGCGCAGGCTCGGTCAGCGGTCATCCACTAGGGCGTGCGCGCGCTCCGTGGCTGACAATTGCCCGCGCACCGCGTGCGCAACAGCCTTCAATCTATTTGGGCGACAGCCTTCGTCATGCAGCAGATATTAATTGCAAGCGAAAGTAATCAACGCAGGTCCTCTGCAGTGCTCAACGGAAATGATCTGCGCACTAACGTGTAGAGCGAAGTGGCTGCGGACATGGATGTATATAGCCTTTCTAACCTATAGTTGTTGTTTTGAAGACTATGGACTCAACTTGGCTACAAAATCTTCAGAGTGACCGATAGTCATACACTGCAGAACGGTATGTATCCGTTGTTGCGATGATTAAAGTTGGCCTTTCTATTTTATGCTTGGTATGTGCATGGATAGCAAGTATAACAAAGTGGTTTGTGACATAGCTAAACTATACTATCCTAAAATACAATTGACCAAATGCGAGTTGCGTGAAAGACAATTAGCCATGGTGAAGGATGTGTGCTTAATTGCCAGCAAATCTATAAATCTGTAAACAAATCTGATATAATAATCTGTAAGTATCTGTGATTCACAAAGTGAACGAAGTGTGCAAGATTATCATTGCGCAAGGGGTATCACTCCAGCGTACGAGAACGTCTTTCCACAACAAATTCTATGAAGTAAACCGATCGGTTAAGATGCGAGTAGCTTTGATCATTGAATTAGTGTATACCCGCACAAACTGAGAATTGTTATCACATCTGCTGTTGATCCGCAAGCATTACAACAATCTTTTCTTCAAACACATTCATTCTTCACTCGTTCTACCCTAACTACTTGTGGCTTGGTCCGGTCCTGCGCACGAGTAGGTACCGTATATTGGCCATGCAGGCGTCTAAGAAGACTCCGATTCAATATTTTAGTTGCAGAGGTCGGAGCAGGACACGTACTCGCAAGCAAGCTTCCATGACCTTAGATGAGCAACTTATCGCCGCATCAGACCGACTCCTATGAAGAAACACAAAGTGACTCATCACTGTGGGAATGTGACCGACGCCGTGATCGAACGGATTCTGGAGAAGAAGGAGATGCTGAATCCGCAGCAACTGCAGTTCGCCCATGCCGCCACCATTACAATATCTGTTCCGTAGAAAACACTGAGCTTCATGATAACACCAAAGCAGATCGGATTGTCTACATAAGTGTACATCTACCCGCAAAGAAGTTTCACGAAGCTTTAAGTTGTTCAACTTCTAAACAATCGAATGCGACGGAGACACGGAAGAACTCTTCACATTGCGATGCGTCAACATCGGTTCGTTATCTAGACTTCCACTAAGACAGTTAGTTTCACCTGTTTCTTATAGCAGATTAGTAAAGCTGGATATGCAGGCTCCACTTTTGATTTATTGTTGGTCGGTCCTCAAAGACAGAGGCATTATGAGTTCTGAGGCAAGTACTGGTAGAAAGCGATGTTGCCCATGAGCTCTGCCTGCGCGTGCGAAGCGACGACAACGCCTACTATGCATGGTCTGAGACATACGTCTCAGCAAGCAAGCCTATCCGAAACATAACGACTTTGATCCAGCAAATACCATGATTCTGTACTGAAACTCAAACTTACTGAGTTTCGCCTTGCGAAGAGGCAAGCACCGTGCAAATGATCCTTCGATATAGTCTTGAGTGGTCATTTTCAGCTGTAAAACGCCTTTACATTAGTCACATCAGCAAGATCCAAAACTTTTAAAAACGCTACCACAGGGCTTAGCATGATATCCTAGAAAATCGAAAAGCTAAAGAAGAAGACGAAGCCATATTATTTGCCAATGCTAGCGACCGCGGCTTTCATCAGAATTTCTCAATGTCCTGTAAAAAATGCACTTGATAACCTCGACCAACGAAGTTTGTTACATGCAGTCGTTCCTACCGTCAAGAGCCGAAGCAATTGGCGTGTAAGGAGCCGGGCATACTTCACGCGATTTCAGTCGCGACACGATTTGGCAAGATTCCAACTGTCCGTAACTCACTGTAAGCACAATTTGAATGTACAGAAGATGGCGTATTTTATCAACCCATTTAAGTCATACACACCATGCATGTGCAGTTTGCTAGTGTTGCATCTGAAGAGTTCTGGCGGATTGCCAAATCGCGTGAAGTATGCGCGGCCCTTAACGGTGCACTTGTCCGCCGGGCTTTTCGCCAAATCGGCTAGTGCACAGGATTGCCAAGGCTTCAAGTTCAAATTGAAATGAGAGGCTCGAAAGTAGGACCTCGTACAGAAGGACGCGGATAGAGCAGAGAACTTCGACCTTGAAGGCATCCATCACTCAGATTCTTGACTTCCGTGTTTTTGCCGTCTTTGCCGTTGCCGCCAAACCTTCTCATGTCCTTGAATTGGAACATGTAGTCGGAGATCAGGAAAAACCCTAACAATCCCCGTTTCGGAGAACTCGCGGTTTTCCGGATTGATAGGATGTGTGACCAAGGACGTGGGGCTTACTAGAGGGGATGTTGCCACCTACAGGTGTTCTACTGCCTTCGTTTTTCCAAAGCAGTTTTCTCGCTTCCAGAGCGACATTTTGGGTAGCGGCTGGGCACAGGGGGCCCTGCTAATGTATGCTGCTAGAAGCTCAAGACCCTTAACCTAGCGTTGACGGTGCTCTGAGTTCCGTTTCCGTGAACTGGCATGCAACGACATGTGCGGAAGGAACAATTGTCCTCGAAGGCAACGCTTATCTCACGGTAATCGTTGTCCTGCCCTAGATTAGAGCAGTTTTCTCGATACGGCGCAAGGTCCTGCGAGTCCGTCCCCATTGGCCTCTACAATGTTAAAGCAAACTACGTCCAAATTGCTGACCTTTACACCTTTCGAGCGCCTCCTCTCCGGAGAAAGTTGTAGACCTCACCAACAGCAATCACTGAGTACATTTTAGCAGATTTCTTCGCTTGATGTTTTGTGTTTGCGGTGCCGACGGCGCCAAATTTACATGTAAACAGTATCGGTATTCCGCACGCAAGCTGCCGGCCATACAGGCGTAGCTATCTTTTCCGCTCACCTCCGCGGTGCAAGCACACTTTATCAAGCGAAATTTAGTAGATTGCCCGAAGGTACAGTCGAATCATTTCATGTGCTCTTGTGTGCATCATACTGTACATCTTTGGCGTCATCATCCTGGATTTGCAGTCGCAAAAACGCTAGAGAGACCGATTGTTATCGCTTTCATCACTTTATTTATACATACATAAGACTGAGCGTTGGTAAATTGTTTGTTACTGTGTGCGCTATAGAGATTTTTGTCTGTGGACCAATCCTATGGTTGACACCGGTACACCACGTAAGCTACTTTTTGCAGCAAAATTCCCACTTCTTTTGATGATTTATTGATTTTCAAGAAAAATGTTTTAACAAACGATACCTAACCGCTTCCAATTCTCGTGTAAGCAATAGCGATAAAACTCATTTTCTATCCACGATGACAGAAGGTGTTTTTTTTGATGTGGCTCAGGAGGTATTTGCCCTGTGTTATCTGAGATATCGAAGAAAGCCGAAATGCAGATCAGTTGAGCTTTGGAGTTGAGCACGATTTTGCTCTTTGTTGAACCAGGTGAAAACACGATGCGGTCGAAGACGCGTATCAGCTAGAGGTAAATTATACTCAAAAAAACATTAAGAACGCATAGAAAACCTTGTTGTTTGCTCCAAGAGTCCACGATGGGAACGCCAAAGGTGGACAGTGTGTGCATTGATACACATGATCATATGAAATGAATCGACTGTAGCTTATCGATAATCTAGTAGATTTATCTAAGCAAAGTCGATAAAGACGCGTCATATCTCTTCGCAAAGGCTCGTCTCGGTTTATATCTACTTGTCCTCTTCGTACCCTGATGATTTCAAAGCTCACGCGCATTTCCGAACATAAATTAATCGCAGACAACTGCTCAAAAGCTCTTCTATAACATAGGCTTTACTAAAACGGAATTCTCTCTGCAGTAAAGTAGCAAATTTGTAGTAGTCATAAACTTATCGTGGCTTGCTACACGCCATAACATGGACTTTTGTGTGCTACCATCTAAGCGATATCTTAGCTTCTTTTGAAAAAGCAATTTATGTTAGGTTTGAGAACGATCCGCTCGTCTTGTGCATAGTTGACTTAAGTGCTGCTAGCTCACATAACCCAGAATATATTCCCGAGAGGTTGGCTGGAATGTGTTATATTGAATCACTTGGAGGACAGACGCTACGACAAACATGCACAAGCACACAAACGCACAAAAAAGAACGAAACAGCTTACCCTTTATTATAAGTCATGATTGACATTGTCTCTTCATTTCTATAGAAATCAACCAAAAAGCAAGTGTTACGTCGAGCACGAACATCCTCAAAATATGCATGAAAAAACTTGAGAGTGGATAGTTTTCGTTTAATGAATTTATACAAAAATATGGAAAGGGAAACGCTCTAAGCACTACTCGACGCATCTTTTCCTCCTCTTTCTAAATGTCATGTTCCATGCCGATTAATCTTTTGTTCAATGAGAAAAACGCCGAAATTTCAAACCCATAGTTTTTACTATGTTCAAGTTTGGCAATTTTTCACAGTCTTTATTTTTGACCTTCGGAAAAGCTTTGGCAACAGTTAGATAGAGCAAACACTCAGACAATCGCTGGGGCAGGCGGGCACCGGAAAAATAGATTGCTGATTTCTCGCACCCCGGTTTTTTTGGGAAGCAATCAGGACTTTTCGGAAGACCGCTTGCTGAGTCAGCGGATTTTTGAGAGACCGCCTGTTGAATTTTTTTCGCTCTTATCTTCTGCGGATATATTGCTGAATCTCTGAGGAATTGAGAACTCAGCAAGCGGTCTTCCGAAAAGTCCTGATTGCTTTCCAAAAAATCCGCGAGCGGGGTGCGAGAGATCAGCAATCTATTTTTCCGGTGCCCGCCTGCCCCCGGCGATTGTCTGAGCGAAGGGCAATATAATGCAATTTTGCGGCAACTTTAGCCAGCTTTGAAAATTTTTTTAGAATTATTCTTCTGATGCTATCAAATTCCACTTTTGGTGATGCCAAAAGCCAGAGATCATGAAACGGCGTACAACTAAGGAGTTATTCTAGGCAGCTTTTCCTCCTCTTTCCAGTGAGTGTACTTTCTCTTCAATTCTATGCAGCTTTTCCTCCTCTTTCCAGTGAGTGTATTTTCTCTTCAATTTGCGGCGTCTTTGGCGATAAAATTTTCATAATTCTTGAATTTGACCCCACCCCAGCATGTACACGTAAAATGCAAAATCTTAAATTTCAAAGCGGTAAACACTCATTTGCTTCGTAAAAATAGTTAATAATCGTAATCGGTTTTTTAAAGCTTCAAAATCCGATGATTTGTTAGTGTTCGAGGCGTTTCTGTATTTTAGAACCTCGCAAAAGTGAAGACTTTTGAAAAAATTATCTTTAAAAATATTGAAAACTAGCTAGATATGCCAAATAATTGCATTGCATTGCCCTTTGCTTGCTCTATCTGGGGGCTATCAAAGGTCTTCAAAAAGTTGAAAATGAAGATTGTGAAAAATTGTCAAACTTGGACATAGTAAACCATAGGTTCGAAATTTCGGCATTTGTCTAAGTGAGCAAAAAAGTAATCGACATGTGGGCTTGACAGTTAGAAAGAAAAGGAAAAGATTCGTCGGGTAATGCTTAGAGCGTTTCCCTATCTTTGTTCAACGTATTTTTATGATAGGTTGAAAAAACGGACAGAACCTTCGGGACAACCTAATACATTTTCGTTAACCATTAAGATCTCATCGTACTTGTGGACTCAGCCTCTTTCGCTTTGATATGAAATTTAAAACATTTGCTCGTCTTCCAAACATTATATCGCATACAAATTGCAGGCCGAAGATGCGAATCAAAATCCTCCAGACTCGGTCGTAATGAGTTTACCTTACATAGAGGGATCAAGCCCAGAACGCCCATTTTTGCGGCCACCCAACACAACTGCAAAGGAACTCATGGAAATACACAGAAACTACCGCCGAGGACTAAATCAAGAGGTGACTTCAGTAAAATAGTTTTTATTCAATTTTGTCCGACTGGCACACGAGTAGTACAGTCCTTTGAAAGAACACTGCTATTTTAGTGGCCGGTGTTCATACCGCCAAATATGGATGAAGATTTACAGAATCTGGAACATCCAGACCCATCAAAACGTCCACGATATCTACCGCTGGCCCCACCCTATCATCTTCTTCCAAACACGTCATTCTTTCGCAAGGCCAGCATCAAGCCTCCACCAACATACTCCAGCTACGGCTTGCACCCTTTGAGAAGAATTATTAATCGCTATTTAGCCAGTATCTTGGTATGTGCAGATACAATCACTTCGAATATCTATAGCTAATCAATTTAGGTAGATCAAATGAAACTGGAAGAAGAACTGAAAATGGTAACTGGTGAAGTGAAGAAAACAACACAAGTAGAGGAAAAAAGAGAGCATATAGCGGGGAAGATCGAAAATGGCAATCTAGAAGCTGAGGGTGTTACCTGCGGGACCTTTGAATCAGATGCGAGATGGAGACAGCCTCGACATCCTCGCTTGGTGGTTAACCATCTACACTACGGCGGACAATTAATTCATTACATACAGAATGGAGGTGAGAATCCTCCTCCCGTTCCTGGCTACTTTGCGTCGGTCCCTTTGATTCCTGGAAATGTGAATGTCACACGAGATTTATGTGGGAGTGTTTTATCAGAGTATGTACAACAGAGAACAATGCAAGGATTCAAAAACATACCCCTCAACACATCTACTGAAGAGTCATACTCGAAGATGGGAACACCGCTAGAAACCTTGTATCATATAACACATAGTGAACAAATTCTTCCGATATCCGAGTCAGAAGGAGAGCATATAAGCTTTCAAGAACATTTTCCAAGTTGCTCTCTCGTTACGGAAAAATATGGAAATGTTCCCTTATCAGAAAGTTCAATAAGCATGAACATTGCAGAGAGATGTAAGTTTTTGTTCTAGTTTTATTACTTGCCCTATAAAAAGTCCTTTAGGTGTGAGCTTGTGCCGATCTCCATACGGCTAATAGCATATTGTTATTCTTCATATACTGTTAAGCAAAACAAGCATCAATTTCGATATAAACGCAACAGTTTCACAGGCCCATAATAAATCTGGCCTTCGTTAACTTATGTTCTTACACTTTATCTGTCATAGTGACAACCCACCGTGCATTCTTAAAAGAAACTAAGAAAAGATAGTCAGTGGCCGTATGAAGAGAGCTTTTAGAAAGACCGTTCCTGTTGAGTAATCACCCTTCGTACTGGTTAGTATAAGTACTGATCTTTGCTGTAACTAACTATCATTGTGTGTCGGGTGGCAAATGTTAAGATAGAAGTGGCTTTAGGGGAGAAAATGAAGGAAGAAAGTACTCATGCGCAACGTAGACCACAAATAGCTAACGACATAACGCAAAAGCCAAAGTGCGAATCATAATTTTATGGACACTCCATATTCTAAGAGTTTCGGGACTTTTCAAACTCAGGAACCTATAACCTATAACCTTCAAGTAGTTACCGCTGGTACTACGTGAAAAAGCGCGACTGAAAACGGAGTACGTTGCTCGTATAATCTAACCGGAAATCTGCAACCGGCGCAAAAAACATCCCTAAGGTCCACTCCAATTTTCATTGCCGTATGTACCGTTTACGGCTATGCTATAGTACCAATACCAACGGTTGCCGAGTTTGTTTCAAATAGTCCCGGAACTCCCTACCTGATTAAGGGTTCGTTTAGGGGAGTAGAAACAAATAAGGAGAAATATGCCATTTTGATCACCCGAGGCTGGCAAACCACAATCAAGTCTATCTGCATTTATTTTTTATTTTGCGTCACCTCTGCTTCGCAGAGACTTGCACTGGTCCTACTATCTATACATCTCATTCATTCCCACCCAATAATGACATTAAAATTCACCGCGCTATGCCGACTATCACGAATGATTTGTAAACAACCATTCACTTTGAAAGCTTTTCCAACTCCATTTGAGATCGGTCATTTCGCGTAAATAAATCTTTTCCCAAAAGAACAAATGCAAATTTGAACCTGTTTTTCGACATTTATGGCTTGGTAGTGACCATAAGGTACAATAATCGCCGTGGACTACATCTCTGTGCAAAAATCTTCTCAAATGATCAGGTGAAGTCTTGACAAATTCAACATTCACGCAACCATTTTTTGGCGCCGTTTTCGAAAATTAATAAACTTGAGTCTACTTATTTAGGCTAAAGTCCTTGGCTTGCACATTAACTTGTCAAACATATCCGTGATTTGCAAAAAAGTGGTACTACAGGCTCAATTTTGCTGGCCAGAAGCCAAGTGGATCCGTTTGACGCGTAGTTTTGGAGGGATTCACTTAAGAAATCCATTCGTGCTTTTGCATAGTGGACTTTCATGTGGGCAACATGCGTTATGCAAAACTTGGGCTCAGGAGGTTGGCTGGAACACGCTCTACGAATTTCGTGACTGACAGACGGACTTACACACACACAACACACACAGACACACACAGACACACACACATGCACACAGACACACACACACACACACACACACACACACAAACAGGTAAACATCCTTAGCCCGTTATTATAAGTAATTATAACATTCCTGCGATCTGGTTGCACAACTGTTCTTTTTGCTTGGGCCCGCAATAGCCTGGAGGGTCTGGATTTTGAAAAGAGTGCAAAAGCACTGCCAAGCAGCAAAGCGTACAGTGTTGATGTGCCAAAGAGGAGATTGGTCCTCCAGATTTATATAGATGGTTCCTTATTCATATGGAGTACATGAGCTGTACTAGCTTCATTGAGACATATGTCGAACGCATTGAAGCAGTGGTAGGATGCTGATGTTAGCATTTGCGACAGAGGTAAATTCAAGGTAACCAAGCAGACATCTGGACTATAACACATGAGCTCCTGGTATTTGGCAACAACATGAGGTACAACAAAGAGGTGGAGAAGTTGTGACTGCAGCGCTTGTGCCTGACCTTCTTGGAGTTCAATTGAAATCACTCTACTAGATGGAAGTTTTTGTTGATTAGATGATGCTGCTAAGCTTAAAGGCAGCGTCGGCAAAAAGATGGGTGTCGGGCTTTTCTGGCGATGTTAAAGTAGACCCCCTATTTAGGCGATGACTGAAGTTCGGAGCGAAAGAGGGGGTCTACCAAGCCTGAAATTTGAAAAAAAAAATAACCCGAATCTTACGGTAGGCCGGGACGCCGCCCACACAGCAATATCGATTTGCAAGGCCAGAGTGTATAGCGCACACAATCACGAGCGCAGGGTCCCGCAACGACTCTGCGTCTCTACCTTGCATGCGTCTCGCACTCGCCCGAGCCTACCGTAAGATTCGAGCCACTTGTGGGGCGATTTGTAGACTTCGTAGGCCCCCTTTCGCACTGCAAATTCTGTGTTCGCTTCGTTAGGAAATCTAGTATTACATTACTACCAGAGCCAGGTACCTCCAGCCTGGTGGGACGCTGCCTTTAAAGGCACCGTCACCCTAAGTTGAGGGTGTTGTCTTTGGCAGCATATAATAGTAGGGTTCCCTAACAATCCAATGTCCAAATCGCGGCGCAAAATGCCGCTCCGGAAGCGAGAAAATCGCTTCGGAATAGCGAAGATGCACGAGGACCCCCATCCATGCCCGCCCATTTGTGCGCGCCCGTCCAATCACCGTTCCGGAAAGCCGGCCTGCGGGTTCTACGGAACGGGAATTGTCGGGGTTTTCGCGCATTCTCAACTTCATATTCGGAATCAGGGACATGAGAACGCCCTGGAACAACAAAAACTTGGAAGTCGAGAATCTGAGTGGACGGTGCCTTTAAAATCTGAGCTGGGCTACACTGCAGATGCCTTCGGTTTTTTGTAGAATTTAAGTGACATCGTCGTGAATTTTTATTGTATAAGCAAATCAAATGGAGAATTACTACAGTGTTGCTTCAAGACACAGCTGACTTTATCATCTTGACGTCAGGACACTGACTTGCAATAAAATGCACCAAACAATCACTTCTTGAGTGCTGCCGTAATTGCCTTCACTGAACTTCTTTGAAAGTACGGTATAATGGACGAGGTTTTACCGTTTAAAAAGACAAAAGCAAGCATTTCGGATGTGAGATTATCTCTGGTAAAATATACGGGAGTCTTAGCAGTTTCTAGTTTTCTGAGCTGATACTCTAGCTAACAAGGGACTGGTTAGAAATCGAAGCGGCCAATTCAAGCAAACTACAAGCATTAGATGCGGCATAAAACGCTGACTCTAAATCTGTCTTCCTTATCTGCAGAGCACTTTTGTAGACGAAATTATAAGCCGTCAAAAGCCATCATTTTGCTAAGAAATCGTGCGTGTAAGGCTTGATACGTACCTCTTAGGTATGGACAAAACCAGCGAGCAGCGAAGGCAGCGCTGCTCCGGCTGATCAGCGCTGCGCTCGGCTGCTTCTTGAGTGCATGTTGAGTGCAGAAACCATCAAAAATAACTGCGCTAATGTCGAGTTTTATCACGTCAAAAAGAAGAGAATTAGCATATTTTAAGTTGGATTTGGTCCATACTTTTATGAAAAGTTCTTCATTTTTCATCACTAAATTTAGAATAGAAAGGTAGCTCATACGAGCAAACTCAGAAGAGCAATTCAAGTGTATTCATTCCATTTGACCCCTGATAAGGCAATGGCTGTCCCAGTAGTATGCAAGTGTCCCTCAGGCAATGACATGATTGCAGTCCATTGGAGGCCAAATTTTATCTGATAACGCTGTCAGCTTTTTGAATTATTGCCAATGTCTAGTCAGTATCAATTACTTTATTTCTCTTCGAGTTCATGGAGTATGTCCCTCCAGTGCGTCTTAATATTTCCCCATATCCTCTGAAACCTAAACGGTATTAGGTTGCATTCATGACTGGCTCACGCAATATAAAGACGGACTCTGTTTTCAGAACGCTAGTCAGAGCTTGAAAATTGCTAAAAATAGGTAATTTCGAGCCAAAACAGCTGTTTAGAGCTCACAGCAGCTGAGATAAGCTCAGAAGAGGTGAGCGTAACTCAGCTGCAAACCGCGTTGCAGCGCTGCTCAAAATTGGCTCGCTAGGTATGGACACGACCTTCCATGTTAGCTGCTGCAGCGGGAGGCAGCAGCAACTGCAATCAGGGTTGAGCAGGAGGTCAGGCACAAGTCTTTCCAAAACGACCCCCCCCCCTGAAAGCCCCTAAACGACCCCTCTGCTTCACCTCCAGGACCTCAGGCTGTGATAATTCGAAGAGATCAGCCGTTTTTGGGAGGTTCTTGTTTTTTGGAGGTCTGTAGGTCGACTTTCTGCGATTGCACAGCACACGCAACTTGACGGCAAGTTTTGGATTTTGGATAGCCCTACTTTTAGAGCTATAATTCCCACAGGGGTGTATTGTTTGGCTACATATTTGCAGTATTGCAAGAAGAGGCTTTGAGTTCAATACTCATAGCAGAAATGGAGCGATTTTTAGATTTTGAAAACAAGTTAATCGGGTCAGGCGCAACCCCTCAAAAGCTCAGGCGGCCTGACCTTTTGTGGGGTTGCGCCTGACCCGATTAACTTTATCATTGAAGAAGCTTTTTTATTCAAGTTTTATGTGAATCGCTAGCACAACCCTCGAAAGATTCCACAGTAAGTGTTTGAACTTGATTCGACTTGTTTCGGCCTTGTGGTAATCCGTGGAGTTGAAGCAGTCATGGCGAAAAGCGCGCCGGTCGGAATTTTGGCATTATTTCTTACTCCACTATTTGCAAGCGATACAAAGCGCGATTTTTAGCTTAGACTAGTAGGGAACAATACTTTGTTACGAGTACAAAAAAATTGACTTTTCTCACTTTTGAAAACAAGTTAATCATGTTTGAAAATCACGCTTTTTAGTCGTTGAGAAACACTAGATAATGCAGTAAATAATGGTTTGTAGGGCTCATAGAGGTAATTTGACGTGCTCGGAAATGATACCCATTTCACACAGCAAGCTTCCTTGATGAATTTATAATATGTCAAGTAGAAGATGAAGATTTGAGTTTTGGCCGAAACTTCGATTGTGGAATCAATCAGTATGCTGTTTAAGACC